CAGCAAGGCCGTGCACGAGGCGCAGTTGAGCGTGCAGTGGGGACGACGGACTTCGAGGAGCGGGCTCAGCGCGTGGCGTGGAGAAGGCGAGTCCCCAGCACCGCCTCCAGCAGCCCCACTGCCGCCCCCAACTATAGGCAACCTCAGCGAATCGGCAGATGCACCAGCCATTGCACTGTTCCGGCCAGCCGCGTGATGTGACTTCAGCAGACTGGACCAATCGATCAGCTAACCCACTACGACCTTCTGCGCAAGCGCCCTTCAACTTCGATATCTCGATACCACGCGAGAGGTCAAGTCGACATCGACTGTTCTGCGTTCGTGCACTGACGGCAGAAGTATCAACTGCTTGCGAAAGAGATGTCGGTCAGTGGAACGGAGGAACACCTGGTGAGCGTTCCACGTGGGCCGTCGTCGGACGAGATCAATAGAAAAGCAACAACACACGTGCCACTGAAGGGCGGTGGGATTCAGCAGACTCGCTCGGCAACTATCATCTTCTCAAGACGAACTCTGATGCGTGGAGTTGGTTTTCTTCTTTCGGGCTAACATAGAGTGCGACATACTCGCCGCTGCGAGAACTTGAAACGTCGGAAAGAGAGGTCCTTGACCCTCGAGCAAAATTTTGCCGCAAAATTAAGATATCAAGTCTGGACTGAGATCAGCGATTCCCAAAGCCACTGACACGACCGCAAATTTGCATTGCCCTCAATAAAGTTGCAACCCGCTCGTCTTCTGAGATTCGCAAATAAACGCACTGTCACATCTTGCGACGTTTCGGGCTTGTATTTATTTTAATCCTCAAGTACGTTTTATCTGCGATCAGTCCCCGAGGTGACCAATGGGGCGAAGCTTCACCTGCAGTGTCATGAGCTACAATAGCTCAGCCGGTATAGTGGCTGGCTGCAGGTCGGCGTCATGAAAGGGACAGGCACAGAATTAATTAATTAATTAATAAATATTATTTTCTAAGAGGACACACTCGCGGGGTCTCGGCCACGTCTTCTCTGGGGCTCCACTGCCACAGGACAGGAGAACGCGTACTGTCTGTTCCCTGCCCCAAACGAATGTCAATGCCGCAAAAGAACGCAATGGACACTTAGTGAAAGAAGCAGCGAGGAATGTTACAGACCTCAATTCCTGAGAGCCCGCGACTCACCTCGTGGTGAGAGGTCCACGTTGTGCAGGTAGAAAGGTCCCTGTCGCGTGATGATCTCGTGAACTATGATGCCGAAAGAGTAAATATCTCCTTTCTGGGTCCCTTCTGGGGGCCTCTGTGAGCCCATGCGAAGCAATTCAGGGGCGGTCCACAGTTGCTCTGCAAAATTTTGAGAAGAACAGACAAATCTTTCGAATCTCTCGTCTTCCCATCTTACACCAAAAGACACAGAAATCGAAATTGCCGCGGGTGCTGACTTTTCAGAAATTTAAAGGGTGCTCAACACCCATGAAACTTGGTCTCTCACTGATGATGGCACTGTTTAAGAAGAGGGAGCTGAGAAATTTGTACCAATTTACAGCTGGAAAACCCGGGATCTTAAAGAAACAGGGTGCAAGGATTCAGCTGGCTCAGAATAGATTCGGCGGTGCAGCCTCGTGAACCTTGGAGTTCCATTAACGAGGCGAATCTGACGTAAGAAACAGAAACTTCCAAGTGAGTGATTTCTCTGCTCTTCCTGAGAGGTCGTCTTTTATCAAAAAAAAAGTTCGAGAAGCTTCTTAAGTTTTGAACATTTTCAAGCAAAAATTAAATAAAAAAGAAGGCGCTTCTACTGTAATCTACAAATCAAAATTTTGTTTAACTTACAATAAAGTTCAGAGTCTTCGCTGAAAGACTTCCTCAAACCTCGAATCTCCTACAAGAATGTTCTTTTACTTTACAGCAAAGACAATTTTCCGCGCACTTACTGTGCCAGTACGCGTAAGAGTCTTTGTCGTCGGCGTCCTCTCCGGAGCAGCGGAGGCCGTGAAGACCGAAGTCTGTGATCTTCAGGACGAAGCGACTGTCGACGACGCAGTTGGACGACTTCAGCGAGCCATGCGACTTCACGTCGCTACTGTGCAGGTAACTCATGCCCTGGAAAGAGACCGAGGAAACCGTCAGCTCCTGCGACGAGTAGCAAAGGTGGCTGTGGTGCCACGTCCCCTGACAAGACTACGTCGTCGTCAGTCAGCGTGTGTCCAGTTACATGCCAATTCAGAATTATCGCGACACGCGTAGGCTGGAAAGTACGACGGAAACCCAGAAAGTCTTTTGGATTCGGAGGTTAGTGAGTCGCTGTGCCGTGTGCCTTGCGAAAAAATAATCACACGCGTGCAAGGAAGACGACGCACTTCGGGGCCAAGAAACTTGCAGTTGCTGACTGCTCTGCAACACGGCAACAAAGGTGGCTGATGGTCTCATTCGCACAGCACAGTCAGCAACTGACAGCTTTTTCTCAGATTGCACGATCATGTCGAGAAAATTACCTCTTAATTGTGGAATCTCTTACTCAGTTTTACATCTGAAACAATATTAAATGTAATTCTGAAATTTTATATCACATGTAAATGAAGACGAGGAAATTAAACTGGACAGCAACTAGAAGCGTGAGCCTCGGAAAAGATGTCTAAACGGGGCACCAGTGTTGTGCACCCCTGAGCATGGCGGTTGCATTGTCAAGCACGATACAACTTAATATGAGAAATTTCAAGTAAGAGCACGGCCAGAATGTGGGTGAACGCTTCGCCACGTCTCCTACGACGAATCTGTTCGGACGCCTCGCTCTCTCATATTTACCTTTTTCTTTGTCATCCACCGACAAGAAGACGAGGGTGGAGAGGATAAGAACATCTAAAAATATTTGCCGAGTCTCTCCACGTCCCGAGACTGCAAAAAGTTATTACCCACTTTCCTTCTCCCCAACTGAAAATTACGTCGTTCTCCATTTCATAGCCTTCAGCCTCGAACCCCATTGCAATGACAAACCTTGACGATGTCGTGCATCAGGCTGTATCGAAACATCCAGTCCAGCTTGAACTGCTCGTTCTCCAGAATGTCTTGCAGACTTCCCTTCGGACAATACTCGGTCAGCAGGCACGCGTGTGGTGGGTCGACGCAGGCCCCGAGAAAGCGCACGAGGTGGTCGTGGTGGAGGTCGCGCATCTGTGGAAGTCAACGGATCTGTGATAAATTGTCGCTGATGAGGGCGACAGATCGCAGCACCGGCAACTTTTTACAGAAGCTCAGACTTTTTATTTTTATCATCGAATGACGAATAGGAAAGAATTTGGAAGGAGGCGGCAGGTCCAAATTCTTTGCCATCGCCTTCGGATCTCAACTCGGGGTCTACCAACCGCCGGTGATTATGCCCTGAACAAGGCGCTGTACTTTCCGACCGAAGCAGCCCTGAGACCACGGAACCGTACGAGAAGAAGGGCGGGTCAGTCGAACTGGCGAGGGGCAGCCGCAGAACCGAGTTCGTGCATGCTGTCATTACAAGTACAACAACATAGATTTTTATACGCCCGCTGCAAACTTTTAATTTTTACCACAGGGCGCTCAAAAACGCATGCTACAGGAGGCGAGAGCCGACGGCCGGTTGTCATAGCAACACAAACCAGAGTCAGCTGCGCGCTTTCTGCTGTATCACACGACAGATGGACGCACGCGGGAAATGCAATTTTTCCGGGGCAGGCTGCGGTAAATTGAAACGCATCTCGCTTCACTCTTGTTACGAAGACCCGCCTTATCGATCTCCATCTCCACAAACACAAATATCAGCTTCAGCGGCGCGCGATGTTTCGTTTCGACTTACCCGTTTGAACTCCAGCAGCAGAGGGCGCGTCAGCTCGATCCTCGATTTGTTGATTGTCTTGATCGCAACTTTCGTCCCCTGAAAAGGAAAGAAATAGATCCAGAATGTCGGTCAGAACGAAGTACGACGAAAGCCGGAACAAGAAGTTCTGAGAAGACCTTAGCGACGCCGTACAGCGCTCACATCGATGTTGCGAGGTGTAGTTTGACCGGCAGAGGTCACCACTAACCTCACGCTAAATATGTAACACCTAACCTAACAAAGTTTATCGCTGTCGACGAGTCTGCAATTCGAAATACATAACGCACCTTGTGCGTACGTCTCCACGCAGAATTCCATACGCCTAAATCCAGTGGTTAATCAGTTATCACCAGCGCACTGAGATGCATTTCGCGTAGGTTTAATCTTTTCTCACATTGTACAAATACATCAGTAAACTGTGGATGTTTCTAAGATCATTTCCTATGACTGAAAAAGTAGAAAGGTATGGCGGAGAACAGTATTAACATTTATAGTTTAAATGCGTCATGTTTGTGTTTTAAAATTCAAATATATAATAATATATAATAAATTTTAACATCAACAATTTAAAGTTTGTGTATAGACTTGAATTATATTATATATTTGAATTGAGTATTAACATGTTCCCACCAAATTTCATAAAAATCTCTCAGCTGGACCAGATGATATTTATGAGGACGGACAGATCGAAATATTACCGTGAACGCACGCAAGGATGAAGACTACATTTGAATGAGCCAAGCGTTTTCATAATAAAGCAGCTCATCCGTTCTCTTACTTAACTGCTAGTAACGACAACCGCGGGTTACTAAACCCGAGAGCCAACTTCGGCTCACAAAGCTCCGATTTTCAAGATGTCGGCGTGTTTTTACAAACGTTAACTGTGGTCTTATAAGCGGAGAAATTAGTGTCAATGTCGAGAGTACGAGACTTCGAGGAACATGCCCGAGCAGAATTGAGACGCGAAGAGTCGGTGAAAAGATCAGAGATCAGAGGATTGCATCCGAGGTGGAAGTTTATTTGCTCTCGCTACTTCGGAAGGTAAAAAAAGTTTGAAGCAGAATGGACCGAAGCCATTAAAAGTTTCTAAATGTGAAAGGCATTTCTTTAAAAAAAAAAAAAAAATCTTCAGCGAAAGTCCCATCTTGAAGGTTTTGCTACGAAAGTCATACAGCAACATTTCAGCGGGTGGAGTCAGTTAAGCTACACTGAAGGTGGAGGCGGTCGAAGACCACAGTCGGTATCTTCATAAACTCAGGTAAACAACGAGCTCTGCAGTTTCAGCAGATATTATTAGGGAGATGAAAGTACGGAGGATGAGATGGGCGGGGCATGCAGCACGCAGGAAAACAGGGTGTAGACTGGATTCATCCGGCTCAGAACAGTGCCCAGTGTCGACATCTTGCGAACACGGTAATGAACATTTAGGTACCATAAAAGCAGATAACTCTTTTATCGACTGAGCGACTATCGGAGTTTCAAAAAAGTGGGATCCGCTCCACTGCAGAATACGCGCGGTGCTCACTCACCTTGTAGAAGCCCGTCGGAACGAAGACCTGCCGGTTGCCGTCCCCGATGCTGAGGGCGTCTTCGGAGAAAACCGTCTGCAAGCAAAAGCAGTCGGATTACGGTCAGCACACCCTGGAACTGCTCCTGACATCCTCGGCCCACGGATTCAATGAGATTCTTGCACGAACGCAGGAGAACACGACAGTCGTCTCCTGAACACCTTATAGCACACTGTCGAAGTGAAGGCACGTAATCTTAAGCTACATCCAGGCCACTGATCAGGTAACGGGACAAACCAGTCAATTCCGTTCTATGTACGTAAAGTGAACCCATAATGAGGAGACCGTTAGTGCCAACATGTCTAATTTTTAAGACAGATCAAGAAATTTTGGTAAAATTTAGTACTTTAGGCCTTCACTGAAATTTGTTGAGCGAATTCATTTTAGACTTGGTCGGTCCAATGCTCACTCGAAAACATATTTTTTGTCTTCTGGGGTTGTACCACCACGCACCGAGCAGCAGCAACTTACCACTTGGCTCCCTCGCTTCGCCAGGCTGTACAGGCTACCGCGAGCCTTGCCCGCAGGCATCACCAGGATGTCCGACCACTGGACGCGCCAGCTCATCGACGCGATGGCAGCTTCGAGCTTGTAGTGTCTGAAACGGGAACGACGGACAGCCTGCCTCATTCTGAACCCCAGGGGCTCAAGGCGCACTGCGTCTTCGGCGGTCTGCCACGACCCCGCCGAAGACGCAGGCTCCTTGCCGTTTCTGCTCTGTTCGAGGAGGAATCCGCCCAGTCAGAAGAAGAACTTCCGGTCCGATATGAAATCTCATTAACTTCTGAGGTGGCAGCCATCGAGAAAATCAAAGATCAGGCGGAATAACCAATTATCGAGAAGTTATATAATAACGCTGGCAACTTTTAACCAGTCTGACTTCTACAAACTTATGATTGGATTTTGTCTGAGTTTGTGAAGAGGATTATTTTTCTATGTTCAGTTTCCTCTGCTTACGTTCCAACAAACAAAGAAACAGACCCGTTATAACAAAATGAAATGCAAGAACTTTTACTTCATACTTTGTTCGTAAGATGAAAGACGAACCAACTCAAAGTGCACATGAGGATCCACGTGGGAAGAAAAAAAATACGCTCACACGAAGAAAATATGTCCTAAAGAAAGCAGTTTTACTACACAAAACGGAAAGAGAAAATTCTGACACGCCATTTCTGGCTTAAGTGCTAGACCTCAAAACATTGCTTACGGCAAAAACTGCGAAGTCTTTACTAGCTTATTGGCAGGGGCGGATGCACAGCGCCACGAGACCACCGAAAATGGGAGAATATAAAACAACAACTCAGCGTTATCACGGAGCTGTTCGAGGGTACAGTTGCACTTCTGTACCACGCGACGTTTAGACCATGACTCGCCATTGCCTAGTGAGAACCCAGAGACCGACAGGAGTCATTCGCGATGAAGGGACAGGTTCGTCGCTAGCATACTGATAAGAAACAGAACATCGAGACGCCATCGATTCATATTTGCGTGTAAAATCGGGCTCAAGATGTCGACTGTCACAAATTTGTGACTCTTTCTTTCGCATTAGAATGTTTTAACTTGGTATTACTCAGGCGTATTCACGTTCTACAATTCCAAAAAACAATATTTCTCTAACCCGATTACCGACTATCAGCACTGCTGATTCTGTGGTTTGCTCAAAAATACTGGACGCTCCTCAGTGGCGGTACCAACAAACGCGCAGTACAAAGGAGTGAGTTGTCCAAGAAACTGCGCTAAGTTCTAACAAAGTTCGGTGGGCCGAGCCGCCACTGATACCCACACGACAACTCAGCAACGTGACCGGCTTCAGATCTCGCGTCTCGTTTGTCTGCCGTTCCCTCCCTCTCCGTCTACTCCGTCTGAATATTTCATTACCTCCTCGTCCCCGTGTGTTTACTTATTCCACTCTCCCACTCGCCTTGGCTGGTTGTGACGCGTTCCCCGACCGGCCACCTTACAGCAGTGTCCATCTTCAGAGCCGAGGGCCATCGGATTCCACCCAGAAAGCCTCACGAAAATTATCTGTCCCCTGACAGACCTCTAACGTACAAACAGCCGGCAAGTTCCTAAAAACTAAGATGTCTCCATGACAACGACCCAGGCTTTCTCCGCTAACCATGGAAACAGACAATCTCTCAGCTGGTTAAGAAATTACATCGATTTTTTGAAGCAAAAATTACACCGACATCTTCACAACAGTCCGCCACTGGTCCCTATTCTAAACCACAGAAATTACTCATCAGTCGACATCTTCACATTCTAGTTCTATAAGATCCATTTTAATATTATCCTCCCTCTTAAACCTTGGTTTAGAACTCGTCTCCTTCCTTCAAGTTTTCTGACGCCAATTATGTTTCGAGCAAGAGTTGTAGGTAAAAACGAGGCACACATTTTTCCGAACTGAAAATCTGGAGGCGAAAACAGAGAAAACGCACCAGAGGTCGGGGTTCGTCATCAAATTTAACTCGTACTTAAGCCCGGAGTCGCACTGAACGCGTTCAAAATCTGTGCCGTGGTTTACTGATGCCGACCCAGAGGGCCAAGTAATCAGCACTTTATGGAGCACCCGGTGGTCGAGTTATTGCTTTATACTTCGCCACGAGACTGCAATAAGCCGCCTTCAGTGGTGGGGGGGGGGGCGCAGCTGCTTTCTCATCAAGTCTCGGATTTGCGCCGTTGTTTCTACTGCTCCAGCGAGAGATGATCGCAGCTCAACTCATCTCGCGTTGTTCTTTACAAGCCCATTCCTATTTTTATTTATTTATTTACTTTTTGGGGGCGCGACAGGACAAAAGTGAAGCTGTTCTTAGGGAGGTGGAGTGGATTCATCTGGCTAAGTGGCGGGCAATCTCTTGACCAGCTGGGCCACAACTAGCTTCTTAAAAAGGGCTCTGCCTCATGGGGTTGGAACTTGTCCTACGCGCTAAGACCGGCGTCATTTAAGACGTCCACTCTGTTACGTTCTGAATGAATTTGAAGATTTTGATGGGAATTGGGAAGCCTGTGAACTCTGTACAGCGAATACACAGCAGATGAAGGAAGACGGTGAGTGACAAATTAAGTTACTACAGACGGCAACTGGTTCAACAAATACGAAGAGAAAAACACGTTCATGGACTGGGGAACGGCCGTCCCCGCTGAGCGCTGAAGACGGAAAAAACGCCTCCTTCCACCTCATCAATTCGCCGCTACTTCGGGTCGCAACTGGGGATCGATGCTCCGCTGGTCCGAGCTGTCTCTCTGCATCGGAAAAATTCGCTCAAGTGACGGCGTGCCAAGGCTCAGGCGGCTGGAGTCCCCGGTTCAGTACCTGGTGACACGGGGTTAGATTCATGGCGGACGAACAACTTTCCCCCCATTCCCCACTGCACGTTGTCACACCCTCGGTCCTCTAGTAAGGACTTCGCCTCCGACACGGCAGTAGGTGGTGGTCTCTCGGTACAGGTGTGGACGTTTGGTTCGTATTTGCCTAAATGCAATATCCGCAGAGCAACTTTGAGTGCAGAACCCGGGAGCCAAATCTCATTTGCTCGGCCTAGACTTTGCAACTACAGCAAACGTCGGAACGCTTTGGCGAATCAGACTTTTCGAGCTGTCAGTTTGCACTCAGCCGTACGAAGTACGTGGCTGAGAGGCCAAGAATACACCAGTTTTCAAATTCAGGACACCCCTGATAAAACGCAGAAGTTCACGAATATTCTCGTTAAGATAACGACATGCAAAGAAAGCGCTTTCAGGGAGAAGCCCTCCAGATCGCTGCTGGAGAGGCAGAAACACGGCTTCATTATGTAGCGAATAAACAAGGACAGGCGACCGCAGATTTAAAAAGGCTCAAAGGATCGCTTACGACCTAATAATTAAATCCGTGTTTGTAGGCGGCTGTCAGCTGTTACGCTGCGTGAAATGGCTTCTCACCACGGAGACTGGGTTCGTTTCCAGCGAAGGCCATTTGCTGGACAAACTGACGCTGGGTCGCGTTCTAATGTGTCCACACAGGTAGGACGAGGAGTGGAGGTAGGGCTCCACGCATTCTTAAACTCGTGTGACTGATCGGCGGCTTTGCCCCTGGACCGCCCTGGACGGACGGACGGACGCAGCAGATCAGCGACAATTGGCTTTTGCCAACTGCGAGCCTGACCGAGGTCAGTGAACCGCATGAAGACAAATGACACAGGAGACCCGCACAGAGTTTTAAGAGGCAAACGTCATGAAAAGAGGTCACTAGACAGACGGGTCACCCGTCATATTACGACTGTAGGGACGTAAATTGACTAAAGAGGGGACCAGACGCTGACATCGGGACCCTTCAGCGAGTTTTGTGTCTGCAGGGTGTGAGGGGGTCCGGGGGCCTCTGGCGCGCGTCTCAGCAGCCCAGAGATGAAGGCTTGCAACATTTCCATAGGCCCATGCGACAACACTCGATCCACATGGGCAGGTTGACAACTGTTTAGCCGCTTTCGAAATACTGAACCTGGGGCTGACGGCGAATGTGGCGCAGCCCTGACCGGCCCCGGGGCAAACCCCCCTCCCCCCTCCACCGATTTATAGCAACTCACCCCAGTGACTCATAACGCCGCGATGTATAACTGTCGAATGTGTACGTGATCAATACAGCGTTTATGTAATGTTAATGACATTTAATTAGATTAATAATAAATATTGAACAACAAATTCAGCAGAACAAAACACACAACCGTAATTTGTAATAACTGCATGGAGCCTGGTTCTTTTAAAAACGTGTGCTTACAGCTGAGCATTTGTAAGCAACACGCAGCCACAGGGGTTTCGCGTGCTCTGAGTTAACAAACCATAATTCGGTTTCAACTCCAAACATGTGCCTCTAGTTTCAATATCAACTGAACGTAATGTGTGGCTTGCGGCTTGCATATGAGCAACGCAAGTCACGAAGGTTAATGAACCAGCTGCTAAGTGACGTGAACGCATATACTTTGCGTCTCTGACTAGACCATCGTCATCCCACCGCGAGGTCCCGGGAAAGAACTCAGCGCACACGTCACCTCAGTCCGTTGTTTAACGACGCTGTATCCGTGTGATCCATCCCAATTAGAGGCCAGCAGCGCAGCGCAGCGCAAAGGGACCCATTTCGAATCTCAATGCGAGCATCAAACTTGAGTTGGACTGCGCCGTGTCCATTTCCGTCGGTCCTTTTCTTGGAGCAAGGAGAACGCACATCAACTCCTCTTTATCCTCTAATTTCCTGCATCCCCGAATCTCATGGATTTGCAGTGCGATCAATAAACGCATATCTCACACACACACGGCACAACGGTGACCCGAAGCGCCAGGCCAATTCGGCTTTGACGGCTCACTCCCAGACCACCGCCTCCAAGTCATCGCTGTGTTCACAACAACACGCCACTGGACGATGTCACGAATCCGGTCCACACACCCGGAAGCTTTCCTTTAAAATCCACTTCAATATTATCCCTGAAGTTCTCATCCCTTTGAGGCCTTACGACCAAAATCCCGCAAGCATTGACCAACATGTGTTCATCCTTGAACTCGCTGTTGGTTTGACGACTACAACAAAACACTGACGCCACGCGTGCAGGTCACGTGATCCTAACTCAGGTT